GGCCCGCGGCATGGCACAAAGGGAGCTGCAATGGGAAAAACTGAAAAGAAAACCAAACCCCAGCCTGTGCGGGGAAGGGCCCGGTGGTGCCGCAGAGCCGAGCGCGGCGCCGGCTGCGGGTGTGCTGAGGAGCACCGGTCACCCCGGAGCTGCCACTGCACCCCAGTGTGTGCGGACGGAGATGGAAAGGAGTGAAAAACAGTCTGGGACTGGGAAAAATCATCTAGGACTGGAGAAAAATCATCTGGGACTGGAAAAAGTAATTGAAAACTGGAGAAAAATATTTAGGACTGGAAAAAATAATCTAGGACTAAAAAATAAATAATTGAGGACTGTAAAAAACAATCTAGGACTGGAGAAGAAACTCTGGGACTGGAAAAAAGTAATCTATGAGTGGAAAAACTCCTGGACTGAAGAAGAAATCTAGGAGTGAAAAAAACTCTAGGAGTGGAAAAAATAATCTAGGACTAGAAAAAAATCATTGAGGACTGGAAAAAATAATCTGGGGCTGGAGAAGAAAATCTGGGACTAGAAAGAATAATCTGGGGCTGGAAAAAATAATCTGTGAGTGGAAAAATTCCTGGACTGAGAAAAAAACTCTAGGACTGGAAGAAATCTAGGAGTGAAAAAAAATCTAGGACTGGAAAAAAAATCTCAGGGGATTTTGGGAATGTGGTGAATCCTCCCAGCAAACCCTCGCCCCCCGCCCGGTTTGCGCCGCGGATCACCTTGGAACTCGGTGTTGTCCAGCCCGCGGATGGCCTCCACCGCGTCCTCGGCCCGCTCCATGTGCACGAAGGCGTAATCCTTGACGATGTCGCACTCGATGACGGGGCCGTACTCCTCGAACTTGGCCCGCAGCTCCAGGTTGGTGCAGGCGGGGCTGATGTTAGGAGGCTTTGCTCTTGTTCTTGCTGGCCTCCACGTTGATGCAGACGCCGTGCAGCTTGTGGTGGTGCAGGTTGCGGATGGCGTCCTCGGCCGCCGTCTTGTCCTCGATGTGGACGAACCCGTAGTTCTTGATGATGTCGCACTCCAGCACCTTCCCGTACTGCTCGAACAGCGACCGGATCTC